GTACTTTAAACAATTGTTTGATTTATCGAGTTTACCTGTGCAACAAAAGAAAATGGAAAATACAGTCGGAACTTGTTAAGATGATAAAACGAATATATATACACACATGATAAACCGATAAAAAAAAATTTTTTTTTGTGAAAACATTGACTTCGGTTTAACGAGTTCTGACTGTATATTGTTAAGGAAGCTGTGTAAGTATGATTTCATAACTTAAAATATCCTCGTTTTTTTCGCCAGTATGTTTCAAGTATGTTTTAAGTATATTTTAAACGTATAGAGTATATTTTGAGTGCATTTTAAGTATCTAAAGCCATTGTATACGTAAATGATTAATGGCTTAATTTAATTTTATCAGTAGAATATTTTTGCAAATTTATATTATAATCATGTGATAATAATATATTTGTTATGTAGGATCTGCATAATAACTTTTACATATGGATCATATGGATTTAAAAATTAAAGAGAAAATTTTTATATACACTAAAAGTCCTTTATCACTAATTTTGACCAATAAAGAGTGGTATAAAGTATCAAAAAGCCTTGACATAAGAGCAAAGTGGATCATCGAACACCACTGCAAAGCACATGTGTTTTTTTATGCAATTAATTATGGTCATACTTTTATCTCACCAGATTTAGTTGATATTCTTATTAAAAAAAAAGTGATTTTATCTAGATATCTTGTACAAAGGTTATTATTACAATTTGGAAAATCAGATAATAATCTAACTGAACTAGAAATCAATAATAATAATAATGGCACAGATCAAGAAATATCCATAGCTTCTCGAAAATATTATAGAAATCCTTGGGCTTCAAACATTCCAGTAGCAGTATTTATAGACTTGTTAAAAGCAGCTAATGATCAGTATGGTACAGATCTTCCTTTGAAAGGAAATGATATTGAAGCTTTTCATTTTTTAACTGGTGGACCATTACCTATTGATTTGGCTCCAAAAAAATTAAAAGAAAATCTTGAAAAAATAAAGGATCTTATATTAAATAAAAATTTTGTGCCATTCCCACCAAGACCAACAATTCCATTTGAAGACTCTATTGATTATCAAATCAAAATGCAAATACTTAACCATGAAGAATATCCAGCCAAGGATGGATTTGAAAACAATAAGCAACTGAATATAATTGCCAGAGCAATATTAATTTATCCTGAAATTGTAGAACTTTGGAAAAAAATTGGCTACTATGATGTATGTAAAGATGTCAATAATTTAGTATTACAAGGATCATTGTTGATTCTATTCTATCCAAATCATAAAAATGATGAAGTTTGTATTTATCCAACTACAAATGATTTTGTTGAACGGCTTCAACAATTAATCAAAGTTGGATTCAAGCTGACAAAATCTGTCATGGCTGATATTTTAATTTTATATGAACAACACCTTAATGAAATTGGAGGGACATTCTTAGAAGCCTTTCAGGTTGTTAGGAGTCTGACAAAACTTGAAATTGTTGAATGTTGTGTTGTAGAAACTATCAAAATCAACAGGAATTTGAAAAGACATCAAGTTTTAAATTTTCTAAAGATACAAATCGAAGAAAACCAACTAGAACTCATCTTTCTTAAGGCCCTAGTTTATTATTATTTTGATGATGAAACCAGAAAAAAATTAATTAATTTTCAAATTTTTAAACAAAATAACTCTTCTACTCACAACACTGACAATGATATAAACAATGTCAACACTATAGATAATATCAGTAACAAATCAATTAAGTATCATAATTATGGTTATAATTATTATCCACAGAATATTGAGAATTTGGGAAAAATTAATTATTATTGGACAAAATATTATGTTGAAAAATTAATATGTGATGATAATTATAAATTTATAAATTCAAATATTGAAGCACCAATTAATAATATAAGATCATTAAGATTAAGCAGCAACTTGTACAAATGGGCGTTGAAAAATTTCAATCCAGATTCATTAATAACAAGATTGTGTTTTAATGATATAATTATATCCAAAGTTTGGATTGATAGAGAACTGCAACTTCACCCAGAAAGAGCAATACCAGCAAGAATAACTCATCATGCATTTGAATCAATCATATCCATTTATAATGAATTTTGTCAAAATAATATTCCATTTGAATTGACACATTTGAATTTATTAAAAAAGTCAAATAATATTACAACTTTGAAGCCATTCTTTGAAGGCTTTTTGCCACAAATTTTTAATCTTGAACCAAGTTTTACATATAATAACAACATCAGTACTCAAGAACATGTATTGAAAAAACAACTACAATTGCAAAACCAACCTCTTCTTCAACTACTTGATAATGAAAAAAAAGGAAAGAAAATTGAAGTTGAGGAAAGAACAAGATTATGGTTTGAAGAATTGGATCAATTAGCCACACAATTCAATATAATCACACATAACAATGATCAGTTCACTTTGAATTTTATATCATGTATGAAGAATTTTTGGAATAGAATTGTGGATGAAACTGATTTCATTAACAAATTTAAAAAAAGACAATATGAGGAGGAGTCAGATTAGCAACTTGGGGCAGGAATTAGAAATGGATAAAGCAATTATATATATCTTATCATTTATTCTTATTCTTATCATTTATCCTTGCTACTATCTTATATTTTATATTTATTTTATTATTAAAAAAAATTTTAACTTAAAATTACAACATTGTTTATTGTAATTTATCAAATATGTAAAAACTTTTTTTTAAATAAATAAATATTATCTTATTACATTATCTGAAAAAAGTACACAAACAAATCAATTGATTCATTGCATTAGGATGAAAAGTTGTATTGTAGGAACAGTTTTAAGAGAAGAAAATCTCAAAGAGTTAATATTTCTGCATAGTTGGTAGTAATTGGATGATTGGATTTTCATCCAAAGTAATTGATAATTGTGTTACAAATATCAAGACCTGACTTATAAAATTTATAAATATGTTGTTAATCAGCTTGTTAATTTTAAGTAACAAAGAATCTTAAATAATATAGATGTAACTTACTGCAAGCTCTCACATTGATTTAAAGTGAATTTTTTATAAATTGAAATTTGAATAAACATTATTTCGGAGTGATCTAAAGACCAAGGAGATCAACTATGTTCTATTTATTAATAATGATGTTAAGATGGTTTCTGAATCGATATAACCTCCAGATTAACATGTGATCTTTTTTATTAATTCATCATATGTGTCCTTAAAACATGAATGCCTGTTGGAAGTCCCACATATCCTTTTTTTATTTATTCTGTTGTTATCTCTTATGATTAAATCTACATCACCATATACAATGAACTTTTTTGTTTTGCACTTTCAAACTCATTGATGTAATATCAACACTTAAAAAAATTACAAGAACATCTTTTGAATTTTGCTTTTGATAATCTGATTAATACTTATAGATATCTTTCTCTAATATTTTAAATTTGATTTGTAATAATATTCTATAGTGATTCAGTTATGTAATGGCCTTCAAAAATTTTGGTGATTGCTTTTCAGAAATAAAAATACCTTAATAAACTAATGTTAAACAATTAATTGCTAACCACATACAATTTTTTTATTTTCTATAAAAACAATACTCTATATAATCTTTTACCAAGTAATCCTGGAAAGGAAAGAATTCATCATATTTAAATGTGATGATGAGCCTTGTATAAATCAACTAACATTGCAAGATATCAATATTTACTTTAAAAATTGAATGTTGGATTATGAACAGTGCTGATATCATTCCATCCATCAGATGATAATGTTTTTTAAATGGTCCATTTTCCAACATTCAATAATACTTGAAACTTCTGGCCTATAAAAAATAAATAAATAATAAATATATAGTATTGTATTAAACAATAAATAAAAACAGCCCATAAATTAAAAATTTCCAGTCTTAATAAATTTATATATTTTTTAAAAAAGAAAAAAAGGAAATCTGTTGCCTTTAAATTTTCATATAAACTAGTTGTTTGATTTATTATATGTATACTTTATTATTTATTAAAACTAATAAAATACAAACCCAGACACCAAGTATTTTTCATTCTAGAAAATATTAATAAATAAATGTTAAATTATTTGCATTTGAAATATAAAATAACAATGTTAATAAAGGATTACTTGATATTAATTAAATAATTATATAAAATTTCGGAAACAATATTATTATTGAATAAATACTATGTTTTTGTTGTTTAGAAAACATAAAAATATGTCAATTTGTTTTTCAAATCCAGTTATAACACTTAATTTACCGTAAAGTCTGGAAAGATAGCATCCCCTTTTTACATATGTGTAACATTTTTTATATACTGACGCTCAATTGTTTTAAAGGAGGGTGCTATCTTTCCAGACTTTACGGTAAATATGATTGATCAACGTTCACATTTTGGTATACGCAAAAACATCATTAATTCATTTACCATGATTAGAATTGTCAAACTCCAAAGATTATGAATATATTTTTTAATAAATTATTATAATGTAAGTTCTGTTATCAATTGCAAATTTGTAAGTTGTGGTTAAAATAAATCTTCCTTAATATTTTTGATCTTGAGATATTCACCTTCAAGTCCTGACAATTCAATATGTAGAATATTGATCCATTGGTGATTGAAACCTTCAACTATTGTTATGTTTATGATTTCTCTAAAATTTTTTGAATTTTAATAGTTAATCAATATTAAATTTATATGATAAAATAATTGCCACTAGAATTATCAAGCTCTGAAGAACCACCTAATTTATTGAGAGAAGACGGTACTCCAGTTCTCATCCACCATTATATGGTTGGTTGTAGTTCATTATCAGTGTTATTTTCTTTGTTTAGACAATTCTATATTCAATTTTCTTGGTGCTCTTTAGTAAGTCTTTAGCTTATTCTTATTTATGAAATTTATACTGTAGGGTAGACATCATTATTAATCACATATTCTTGTATAAAATTAGATTACGAGGATAATTATAATAATAACTAACGATTAGAGATGTTAAACAGTCCTAAAAGACTGGTGGACTGATGCAGTCTTTTCACAAAAAAGACCAACTGGTAGTTTTGCAGTCTTTATCATGTGAAAACGGTCCTGGAACGGTCTTTTTTCAAATAGGGATTGGAGTTTAAACCGGCCCGTCTTGGTTCATTCTTGGTCCATTTCTACAATGAAATTGTTACACTAGATTGATATGTTATCGGTCCTGAAACAGTCTTTTTTCAAATAGGGATGATGAATAAATTCTTTAATATAGTTAATTCGTGATACATGGATCACGAATTAATTATTATTAAAAAATTTTGATAATTGAATTGATAAAGACTGCAGTCTGGACTGAACCATTGGTCTTGTTCAGACTGTTTTTGAAACTGACAGTTCGGTCCGTCTTTAAATGAGACTGATATGGACCAGACTGGACCATTTAACATCCCTACTAACGATCAGATTAATTTTTGGAAGAACGAATTTAATTTATTGTTTTCTTTGTTCAAAAAAGTTATTTTAAAGTAGATGGAATTCGAGTTTTTATCTACCTAATGTTCCATTAAAATACTACCTCCTCAACTAAGTTTATCAACCAACAAATAACCGATACAAATTCATGTTGAAATACAATGTAGCAAAATATTAATAAACTAATAAATTAAAATAAAATAATAAATAACAACAAATAATAAATAAATAACATCACAAATTCTCTGATAACAACAATATTAAATATAAAGATTATAAAAACAATATTCATTCTTCCATGAAGAAATCTATTGATTGCATGTAATAATATTCTGTTTTTTCACAATCTACACTAGAAAGGGTAATTGAATAACACTGTTTAAAATTCTCCTCCCGTGATATAGTTAGATTAATAAATCATTGTTTTTTTTTCAAAAAAAATTTTTTTTTTGAAGTTATTAGAGCATTAAGTGATATTTGGCACGAAACGTATCAAGTATTAAAAGTTTAGCTCGGGCCTTCAAGATGTTCTCGATTTGTCAGCAGATTTTAACAGTGATTAGTAACTTCTTTATGTTAACATATTATAAAATTTAGTAGATGTATGATTTTTGTATATATATACCTCGTCTACAAAAAAAAAATGGTTTATAAAAATTTTTTGAATATATTCCAAAGTTTAATTATTTTTATACTTGTAGATAGGCCACAAAAAAATTGATAATGAAAATTCCCTTAAAACCTACCAAAATCAACTCCATACAATAAAATCAAAAAATTGATCAAATAATCGATAAAATAGAACCAAGAAGGAAACAATTTAAAAATAAAACAAACCAACTTATTAGTGATAAAATAATATTCACAAGAAATAGAAAATCTATGGCAAAAATACTGGGTTGAATCCCGATTTTTCATTTAATGAAATGGTCATTGAAATTCACCAATTACTAGGAGACGGAAATGGAGTTACTGCCTCCACAATAAAAACTTCTATGTAAAACGATAGAAGCCATTCAGGAATGGGTCAACAAAGAAAAGAAGAATGAAGAGGAGAATGAAGTTGACGAAGATAATGAAAACGAAGAAAATACAAATATTAATAATAACATTATTTGTAATAATAAAAATAGTAATAATAGTGAAAGTTAGATTTTTGTCAGAATGCCCAAAGAATAGGTAATACTTACAAATGGCTTTGGATCCGAGTATTTTCCTCCCATGCAAGTGTTCCGACAATTCTTTAACTTATATTATGTATTTTTCTATTATTAGTTGAATTAAAATAAAAATAATTTTCTTTTGTTGTTTAATTCACTTGTCCGTAAAAAAAATTTTTTTTAATTGCAAGCCATGTGCCCACTAATTTATAGAAACAATTAATTGATCTAATAAATAAAAAAAAATTCATTTTAAAATCTTTTTTTATTTTTAAAAAATGGCAACTTACGAAGGAATTGAACAAGAATTAAAAGATGCTAAGGAGAGGTTCACGAAGGCAGTGGAAGAGTTACATCAGTTCAAGGAAGGGGAGAATGACGGGAAGTGGTTAGAAGACTTGAGGGGAAAGGCGAGAAGTGGAGAACTAAATGAAGAGGGGATGCAGGAGAAGAGGAGACTGGAGGAAGAAGAGAAGAGGTTGAAGAAGAAGGTGAACGATTGGGATGAGCGTGTAGGGAGGTTTCAGGATGCATTACTAGAATTTAACAAGGGAGAAGGTAATGAACAAATTGTGTAAAAAAAAATATACAAAAAAATATTTTCCATTCATTCATTTATTTATTTGTATACTGTTTGACTTTAACTAACTTGTGGTTTTTTTCCTTCAATATTTCGATTTTGATTCTTTTTGGATTAATTTTATTCTTCACCAATTCATTTCGGAATTATTCATTGTTCATTTTTAGTCAATGAAGGTAAGCATTTATTTATGTTGCTGATTAGTTTGTTAATTAACTTATGCTCTTTGTTTGAATATTCCAATGAATATTTTGCTTTATTTATCATCAAATTTATTGTAAGTTTTGCTATTAGATGAGTTGGAATACCTGCCACCAGAACCACTTCTTAGAACAAGTGGATATTCTTGGGATTATCAAAAATCAGATGATTTGAGGGAACTGTTAAGAACTACCATAACTGAATACTACAAAATTTGCATAAAACAGCAACTGGATAAAAGCACCACACCACTATTTTTTATGATTGCTGGTGCAGGAGAAGGAAAATCTAGGAATGCAAATGAGTTACCAAATATATTGCATGAAGAGTTTGCTTCCCATAAAGAACTGAAAAAACGATTTGAAAATGCATTAATATTTAACATCTCTCTTGAAAATGATACTAAAATTGACCTATTAGAAGAACATAGTGCTGTAACTGCCATTGCAAAACGAATGCTTTTTCAGCTAGAAAAACGCAAAGGTGGCTGGATGGAAGCACTTCGAAATATCCAGATGTATCACCAGATAAAGTAGTATCAAAGATTGCTAAACATCAAAATGTCCAACCCAAGGATTTGACCATCATTATTGTGATTGATTTACCAGGAAGATGATGGAGTAAATAAATCATCACTATTCTATTCATGTATGACAGTTTTGAATAACTTTGCTGCATCAGGACCATTTGTGATAGGATGTTGCACAACAACACTTAGCAGACCTTTTCATGTTTTTATGAGTGCTTCACATCAAAAGCGAGTGTTTTTACCAATACCATCTTTATCACCAAGGAATGCCTGTTTTTGTTAACAATAATCTTATTGACATGCTTGTTAGTGATATGGGAGGTCATGGTCGGGCATTAGAGGCACTAAATGAAGCCCTTAATGATAATGATTTAGACAAAGTTAGCTTTCTAACCATAATGGAAGGTGTTTATGCAAAATTATCAGATCTTTACAATGAGTGGATTAACCAAACATCTTATTTGAAGCCAATTCTTTGTATAATTCTAACACAAGTTATAGTAGAAGCAAATAAAGTTATTCCAGGGACTAACTTAAAACCAGAAGACTTTTCAAAATTGGGGACGTCTAACCTGTCCATATATATGGCTTTGGCTTTTATCAAATGCATCAGAGGACCCCACATTGCAGAGCTGGAATTTTAAATACTACCAAGAAGTTCAACACAATGAAGATTTATTAGTACCTCCTGGATGTCAATACTGGCAGCATTTTGAAGAGTTTATTGGAAGGATTCGAGTTTTAAAATCACAGGTTTTTGATCCTAATCAACATGTTGACTTGAAGGAAATTCATAGTGGAGCATGGCATAATTTTGAAGACATAAAGATTATAAACAAAGCCTTAACACTAGAGAAAGCTACAGTATGGACCAGTACAAAATCAAGTTGTGGTACAAGGACAGTGCAATGTGAAAAGGTTAATGTACAATTGGCAGAAGCATCCCATTGTATTATTAATAAACCTAATGCACCTTATGGAGATTGTTTTTGTCCCATTTACATTGCTAATTCACAAAATTTCTGCATTGAGAGTCATCAGTGTAAATTGATTAAAGCATCTGCAGCAATCAATGAACAATTGTTTATGGAAGAATATAATAAGGCAGCTGAACCTGGGACAGATGTGTTTATCTTTTTCACAACTGGAAAATGTGATATCTCATCACTTCCACCAAGGTCAGCAATTGTGGATAGCAAAGTGTGGAATTCATATTTTGGTCCTTTTTCTGGGCGTGCATTTATTTATTCCCAACAAAATCCACCAAATATAAATAAAGCAGTCTATACTGTTCTGACAGCAATAACAGGAATTGGTACAAAGCATGCAGATGTCATAATGGATGAACGAAAAAAAGTCAATTTACAGATATTGAAGATTGTAATAGATGAACAAAAATACCAAAAAATGTATTAACAAATTTCCATTTTTAGATCAAATGCTGATTAAATCTATTCCTAATTTTTATACCTCATATTTTTCTGATTCAAGAGTCCTTTTTCATTGTGTTCTGTATCAAGAATTTTATTATAGTTTATTTTATCATTTTTTCAACTGTTTTATTAAACAATAATAAATAAAAATTATCCTTTATTGCTCTAGTTGAAATTTATTCTTTATTAGATTCATTTTGACCACTATGAAGGTGATATGCAAGGTTTATAACAATGAATGGATGTGGATTCAAGGAAAGACCTGAGGGGGGACCGATCTTCCAAAAACAGAATTGTCAAATGTTGTTGCTGCAATATGAACAGCATGTAAGCTACATGGAATTCTAATTGCATTTGTTCCACACTTTTGATTGAAATTTACAACACCACCCTTAGATCCTGACATATAATTAGTATTGTCAGTAAGCCAATATAGACAATGATTTGGATCCAAGTTAAATGAACTGATTGCATCAAGTACAGTATCTGAATTGCACCGATCCAGATCCTTCATGTTCAGGATTGTAAGTATAGGTTTCTCTTCTACTACATTCCAATGTGAGACACATACTAAAAATATTTTTTTATCACCTCTTGTACTTTCATCTGCCACGATCCCATATGATGAGAATTGAGAAGTGGTCCCTGGAAGATTTTCTGAAACTGTTATTCTTGCCACATCTTGATTCCATTTAGATAAAGTACTTGTTGAGATTCAAGTATCAGGGGAATCAACCAGGAAAGTAAAGAATTCCCTTGTGCATTGTACTGTTGATGACAATGATGATTGACCTATATTGCTCATTTGGGTCACTAGAGCAATGAACTCAAGTGTATAGGTATGTTTATTCTCTTTGACCATCTTTTTAATACCTTTTTGGATTTCTTTTTTAGATATGTATTTTTTTTTTGAGATCATTGATCTTATTCATGAGATATAATGATCTTTATTTTAATTGCTAAAAATTTATGTTTGGAGACAATAGATTCATTTTTCTTTGTTAATATATTATTTTCTTTCTCTATGGATTTTATTTTATTTTCAATCTCTTGGGAACTAGATTCCAGCTTTCCAATAGTTGATAGAAGTAAATCCATTGCTTTTTTTTGTAGATATGGTGAAATAATTTCACCCTTATGATTTCCATTTGGATAAACCATTATTTCAAGCAATTTGGAACACGAAAAAATTTGCTTCTCAGGTAAAATATTGATTTTATTCATTAATTCCTGTTTAGCTTTTACAGCTTTATTACTAAATGTTGAGGAAATATTAAGGTCAATTGGTGGTTCTATCAGTGTTTGATTTTGTATTACTGGGTGAGCTTTTAGAAGTTGTTTGCTTCTTTTGGTTAATGGTGCCATTTTATTAGATCAAATTTTTACTAACATAAACAATTCCTAAAATGAGATTTTCAAAAGCTAATGTAATTTGGTATAATAATAAGATAACAAGATAATAAATTGAAAGCTTTTTGACAACGTTATGAACGTTTTTGAATTTACGTTTTGGTCTGATTTATCTTTAAAAGGAAAAGATTTACAAAAACTATAGCGGAAATTTTACAGTAACAGTCGTGTGACATGTCCTTTCAAATTATTTTCTATATTAAATAAAAAATTTCTAATTCGTGTCACATGAATTTTTTTTAAAATAGCTCGTTATTTTTATAATAAACTCGAACTTCGTTGTTAGAGTAAAATAAAAATACTACATTAAAGCTTTCGAATGAATACTCTTTCATATCGAAAGGTCTTCTCTATATAAATCTACGACTATTCAAAAATGGTGTTACTTTTTCACTTCAAACCTCAGATTATTTTTCAATATCGCTTTAAAAGACCTGATAGTGACTGAAGAGGAGTAAAATACTCTAAGCTTTCATATGGTCATTACTTTATGGGGGGTGTTGGTTAATAAGTTTTAGAGATGTTTACGAAAAACTATTTTATAGAAATTTAACAGTCAAGAATTTTATACAGATTGGATTCAGCAAAAAATTTTTAAAAAGAGAAATCAAAAGAACCAAGTTTACAACATATTATTTATGAAAGTAAGTAATAGATATTATAGGAAAAAAATGTATAACTATATTATAAAAGAATTATTTGTTTATATATTTATTTATCTAGGAGAGAATGTA